CCGCGCCGGGGCCTCCGGCACGCGGCGGCCGCTGCCCGGCCCCCCGCTGTGACGTCACCTCCCCGCGCCCGGGGCCTCCAGCCCGCCGCCGCCGCCCTGCCCCCGACGTCACCGCCCTGCGCCTCTGCGCTCATCGCGGCGCGTCTGACCCGGAGGCGTGCGACTGGCCGGCATGGCGCTCTTCCACGTCGCGCGGTACGCGGGCCCCGAGGCGGCCGGGGCGGGGGCCGAGGCGGACGGCCGGGCGCGCGCGCTGCTGGAGCGGCTGCAGTGCCGTGCCCGAGAGCGGCAGCAACAGAAGCAGCCGCAACAGCAGGAGGCCGCGCGGACGTCGGGGGCGGCGGGGCGGCGGCGGCGGCGGCCGCGCAGACCGCGGAGGCGCGAGGGCGGCGGGGCGCCGGGGAGCCCGCACGCGCCGCGGGGGAAGCGGCGGAAAGCGGACGGCGAGGACGAGAGCGCAGGTGGGGCCGGGCCGGGCCGGGCGGGGGCGCGGGACCGGGTCCGCGCGGGGCTGACGCGCCGCCCTGGCCCGCTTCTGCCGCGCAGGGAGCAGCGAAGGGGCGCCCGGAGAGAGCGGCGCGGACGCCGAGGGCGCGGGGCCGCCGGAGGACCCAGGCGGACGGCCCCCCGGAGAGGCGCCGGGGACTCCAGCCCGGGCCCTGCTGCTCGGGGGCTGTGGGAGAAGCAGAGCGCCGAAGGTGGGCGAGCGGCCCGCGGCGCGGAGGGAGCCTTCGACGACCTTGCTTCCGCCGGGGACCGCGGGCGGTGGTCGTCGCTGGTCCTGCCGCCGCTCGCGGGGCAGCTCGGAGGGCCGCGCCTGCGCCTGGGGGCGCGCGCAAGTGTTCAGTGAGGGCGCGTCCCCGCCCCCGGCTGCGCGGCTTGTCAGTGTCTTTTTGGGCGTTCGCGTCCCGTGCAAGTTCAGTATTTTTGCTTTGATCATAAAAAAAGAAAGGTTTTTGTGATATAGTAAGTAGGTTTGTCGTCACAGTCGGGTCTTAAAGCTACTCTCTCTTACTTGGTGGGCGTGTTTAAGAAGTTTCTGTTCTGTGCTCAGCTACTTGGTTAAAAGAAAAAAATGGAGTTTCTAGCGGGCTCTTAAGTAGTCTTCTTTTTGTTTTGGTGGAGGTTTTCAGTGAGTCAGTACCGAGCTGCCAGGAAGGAGACGGTGGGCTTGCCAGGGTGCGTAGGGGCCCCTTCGTGTCTGTGCCCGTGTGCAGGTCCACACTGAGTTGGGATCAGCCCGGGTAAGATGGACCGGGGAGGTGAGCATCCGGCAGAAGGCGGATTTAGCGCAAAGGCCCTGAGGCAGCAGTGAGCTTCTCTGTGTAGGAACAGAGGCTTATGTGGCTACGGTAGAGCCAGTGATAGGAAATGAGGTTGGGGGCAGGTGAGTGCCGGATCCTGGATGGCTTTGCAGGCGCACCTTGGGTGTGGATGTTATCCTAGGTGTGGGGAGGAAGCCCCCCAGGGTGGTTCTGCTCAGGGGAGTGGCACTCTCTGGTGTGTAATTCCTTTAAAGGTTGCGTGGGGTGGGGGGAGAAGCTGGGAAATAGGGTTGTCGGCCTGCCTTGCTGTGGTCTCTTCAGCTTGCGTACCTGAGTCCTTTGTTTCTGCGGGTCTTGCTCCCCTAGCCCCGCGGACCCCGGAGTACTCACTTGGTCTTTCTCTCTTTACGGTAGGTCCAGCCTTTCCTGCCATCGTGGTTGGCTGAGCCAAGCTGTGTTGGAAAGAGTGTCACTGAAGATTTGGTGCCTGTCGAGGACATCCCTGAAGTCCACCCTGACATGCAGAAGAAACTGCGGGCTCATGGCATATCGTTCTACTTCCCAGGTGCGGGGCGGGGGGGAGGGGAGCGCACGCTCTCAAGAGCCTCCTCACCGAGAGCCCTACGAGGCCACAGTGTAGCAGCCGTGAACACAGGCCCCTAGGCACGTCCAGCATCAAGTGCCACCTGAGTTTTTGGCATCTTTGGCCACCTGGGCCTGGCGCTCCTAGAGGCTCCGGTGCTGTCATTGAGCGAGAACAGCCTAGTCTAGAAGTCAGAGGTGAAGGGTGAGGCTACCTTTGACTTCAGTGCCTGTGCTGATTCTGGATGTTCCCGCACAAACGTGACCCGTGTCTCATCCTTCTTTGTCCAGTCCAGGCAGCAGTGATTCCTGCCCTCCTGGAGAGCACAGCCGACGGGTTTCTGGTGGCCAGAGGTGGCTACCAGCCCAGTGACCTTTGTGTCTCTGCCCCAACGGGCAGTGGGAAGACTTTGGCCTTTGTCATTCCGGTGGTACAGGTGAGTGTAAGGACCCCCGCCCTCCGAGTGGGCTCTGCAGGCAGGGAGCCGGCTCTGCTGACACAGGTGGTTGTCATGTCTCCCCCCACCAGGCCCTGCTACATCGAGCTGTTTGCCAGGTCCGTGCTTTGGTTGTGCTGCCCACCAAGGAGCTGGCCCAGCAGGTACGTGCACCCCACGTCCCCAGGTCAGACCTAGGATCTGTATCGCTGTGGTGCTTTGTACCAGGTTGGTGACGGCCGCTCCTTTTCTAGGTGAGCAAAGTGTTCAACATCTACACAGATGCCACTCCTCTGCGTGTCGCCCTGATCACTGGGCAAAAGTCACTGATCAAGGAGCAGGAGAGTCTCGTCCAGAAGACGTAGGTCCTGCGGGGCTGGGGGCTCCTCAGGGAACAGGGAGCGGCTCTCTGAACCCTGTCTGCAGGTTCCCTGTGGTATTGGGGGGTGTCGGCGTGGGGCCCTGTGCTGAGCCACTCCGCTCCTCAGAGCACACGGCTTCCGCTGCTTGGCTGACGTGGTGGTGGCCACTCCTGGTCGCCTGGTGGACCACATCGACCAGACCCCAGGATTCAGCCTCCAGCACCTCCGCTTCCTGGTAAGTCCCACTCCTGGAGGAAGGCTGGGGTTTGGAGCCAATGCAGACCTCCGCCACCAGACACCAGGCCTCTTGCTTCCCCCAGGTCATCGATGAGGCCGACCGCATGATAGACAGCATGCACCAGTCCTGGCTGCCCCGGGTGGTGGAGGCGGCCTTCCCGAGTGATGGTGCCAAGGACCCCTTTGCTCTGCTACAGAGGAGGCAACCCCGGGCCACCACTGCCGCCAGGTACCCGACACTGAGCTCTGCCCTGCACTCGGTGTGGCCGCCTGCGGACAGCCCCGTCGTGCTTCCCCTCTGTCTCCGAGACTGCCTCGGCCCCAGTCTGGTCCGGTTTGTTCTGGGGCGGCCAGTATCCGGGAGGGTGGCCAGGGCTCTGGAGGTCGGCTGGCTAGACCAAGACTGTTGTCTCATCTCCTGCTTCCCTCTCAGTATCTCTTGTCCTCAGATGCCGCTGCAGAAGCTGCTCTTCTCGGCCACCTTGACGCAGAATCCTGAGAAGCTGCAGCAGCTGGGCCTCTACCGGCCCCGGCTCTTCTCCACGGGGCTGACGTACAGGGGCCCCAGAGACACTGATGAGGACGGGGACTCCGGCGGGAAGTACACCTTCCCCGCAGGGCTCTCGGTGAGTGGGGCGTGCAGGGGTGGGGAGGGGGTGCCTCAGATGCTTGGGGCCTGGCCGACCCTGTGCTGTCCCCACAGCACCACTATGTGCCCTGCAGCCTCCGCACTAAGCCACTGGCCATCCTGCATCTGATCCTGGAGAAGAATTTCTCCAGGGTCCTCTGCTTCACCAACTCCCGCGAGAACTCGCACAGGTGAGGCCCAAGTGGGCGGAGGGGGAGGAGAGGGGAACAGAGTGGGGGCAGGCTCCAGGCGCTGCCCACCCAGCTCCTTCCGGCTCTTCCCACCCAGGCTCTTCCTGCTCGTCCAGGCTTTTGGAGGTGTGACCGTGGCTGAGTTCTCCTCCCGCTGCGGGCCTGGCCAGAGGAAGGCCGTCTTGAAGCAGTTTGAGCAGGGCAAGATTCAGCTGTGAGTACCTGGAAAGAGGGAGGGGAATGCTCCCGCCAGGTACCAGCCTGGCCCCTCTGAAGGGTGTTTTCCTACGGGAGACCCACCTCCTCAGTGTGGTGGCTTCCCCAGCAGGGCCGGGCAGGGGGCGGAGAGGGGCTCCCGGCCTCAGGCAGGGCCCACGGCCCCTGGTGTTCCCCAGCCTCATCAGCACAGACGCCACCGCTAGAGGCATTGACGTGCAGGGCGTGCAGCTGGTCGTCAACTATGATGCCCCTCAGTACCTGCGTACCTACGTGCATCGGTGAGGCTGTCCCG